TTTTTTTTTTTCTTTTTGCTTTTTTGTAATGGTCAATTGTCTGTTTGTCTGCTGCATATTTTCAGTGGGAAGGTGAGTGAATCACTTTTTTGGCAATTGAAAACCGTAGTGGGTACCTATGCGCCCATTGATTGGAAAGGGCCACATATCGGTAAAAGAAGGGAAAAAAAAATTGGTTGGAGGCTTTGGAAGAGTTTCCTTCTGTACTGCTTTTTTTTTTCCCGTAGCTCTTCAACGGATACTTTAAAGTTGACAAAAAAAACATATTCGCGTGCCGTTTTGTGGGTAAATATTTTCTTTTGATGAAATTTAGCCATCGTAAAGTTATATTTTACGTTTGTGGCGCGTTTTAAACGAAAAGTATATCGGACGTTTTTGGTATGATTTATACAAATTAAAAAGGAAAGCAGGAGGAAAAGTTACATTTGTTCCTTTTTTTGTGGCCTTCGTTTTGAACTGTAACTGCGTTTAGTTTTATTCTGATCATTTTTTCATAACTATTCTATCAAGCTACACGGAGCAAGTGACTATGACAATCTGCCGTTTTTTCTTGTTGCTCTTTATTGTTACGTATTAAACTGCTGCCTAGCTTTATTGTCCTGCTGTTGATACAGGTCGATTTTACAGTTTTTTTTTCTTTTTTTGGTGATCCCGTTTACATCATCATTTTTTTTTTTTCGTTTTATTTCAATCTCCAGTAAATCTAGCAGGTCTTTGTTGTTTACTTTTGAAACCACCCGCCAAAAACTCAATGGGGGATTCAGTTCCGCCGGAGCCAGCTCCGAAACCTGGAAGAGTTACTGTTTACAGGGCACTTTATGACTACAAAGCTCGATCGGTACAAACTTCATATCATTTGTAATATTGAGTTTAACTTGATTATTAAGCTTTCTAATACGTTGTCAAGCCCGTAATGACTTTTTTTTTTTTTTTTCATAAGGTTTTGTAGGAAAGAGAAATGTCTTTTAATGAAGGCGATTTACTGTATGTAACTGATGGTTGTGTTTATGATGATTGGTTAAGCGCACGTTGTGGTGGTGAAACCGGACTTATTCCAAAGAACTATGGTTAGTACCGTCGGCATCCACATTGATAATGAGTAGGAAGATGCCAACTTTAGGTGCAGCAGAGTAACACTTGAAACTTGTTACAGGTGATTTACTTGCTCAAAATAACTCCATTTCCTAACCTTATTTTTAGTAAAGAATGCCGAATTTATTGCTTACCCGATGCATGATGCAGCAAAACGAGGAAATATCAGCTTTGTTAAGGAATGCCTAAATAATGCTGTTGGTGAAATTTTTTTATCTTTATTCGTAAAATTAGTGCGTTTGTAACTGGTGTAATGCATTTGATATATGAAAAAATTAATATTTAGGAAAATGTACTCTTTTAATTTTCGCTTGGACCCAGTATAAATTCCTCATTGTTTTTCATTCTAAAATTATTACTAACGTCTAGGTTTCACCGAACGGCTTGGATAAATCTGGATCAACACCTTTATACTGGGCCAGTTATGGCGGTCATGTAGATATCGTAAAATTACTTGTCGATTTACCAAATATGTCCATATCAGCACAGGTACCTACTTCAGAAATAATTCAAGCAAAATTACAAAGAAGGAGTGTTCAATTTGCAGAACAAACTCGGCGATACCGCCTTACATGCAGCTGCCTGGAAGAGCCAACCGCAGTGTGTTCAACTGCTGCTTGAGCACGGAGCTAAAACAACAATACGGAACAATCAGAACAAATATCCCATCGATATGGCCAAAGATCCGGAGTGTTGTGCTTTAATACAGGTAGCTATGCGTACGCCAGTAGAGACTGAGAAAAATGAATACCTTTCTGGATCCTCGGAAGACGAAGTAATAAGTCAAACTTTAATTTTTAAGTCCTAAATGTGGTATAGCTTTTCCAACCTCCTGTACTCACCTCGCCCCGTTTAGGACAGCGGCCAAGTTGGTAAAGCAGAATAATTATTCGATTTGTTACGGTGCAAAATTGCAGTTCCTTTCCTGGTATTTTGGTCTTCAACAGTGCTGTTGCAGAGACTGAATTCATTAACAACAGTCTCTGCTTGAAAGCAGTTGGTTCTCACTGTTTTTGAGTGCTTTTCCATTTACTAATTCAAGTTAGCTCCATGAGCTTCATCTGCGACTGTACATGTATGAATCTTGATTAAAAAACGTTCCATTACATCACGCCGATGCAGTGATAACAAGTTTAAAAAATCGCCTCATAATACAACAGTCGCCACCATTGAAAAAATGGCAGATTTCACTGAACGAAGTACTCAATCTGCCACTTAAAAATTGAACTTAACCCCATAAAGTAAAGAAGAAAGAGGTTTATATAAAACACATTAATGAACACAACAATATATAACAGCTTTATTGCAAGCAATTGGAAGTAACCAACTCATTAACGGGAAGCAGGTGCACAGAAGAATGCTAGCCTACCAAAAGAACAATGAAATCTTTAAAAGTAAATAAACCTTAGTATTTCTGCTTGCTTTTATCAGTAAGAGTACTAATAAACGCCAAAATTTCGCAACTACTTGAGATCAACAGTTGTACCTCGAAAACTGGATTACCTGTCGTAAATAACCATGTAATACTTTCCTCAAAAACTGCAAGGACTAGGTAGGAGCATTCAAGAAAACTTCATTAACACATACATCTAACTTATTTTGAAAATCAGGACTACTCCTTGTGAAGCATAAAGTTGCGTCCACACCTTACGAGACTAAACAGGATTAAAAACTAATGACCCGGAAACGCAATCTCAAACAAACTGGTTTCTCTGAACGGTTACAAAATCATTGATATCCATCCTATTATAAACAGCATCCCACCCCAAGGGGTGTAATGTCGTACCTGTTCATTACCTGTCAGGCTATAGTAATAAATTGTTCCAGAAAATATAGAAATCCCAGCAAAAAATAAGGATGCTGTTATAGCAGGGAAGCGGGCTTTTGAAGATCCAAGGATGGCCACAGTATGAAGCAGATGGTACCGGTTTCCTGTTTCAAAAGCCCGAATGCGACGCTCATCGGAACATTTTTCACGCAATCCTAAAACATAATAAGAGCGTTCTGTATCTTATAAGCAAGTTTAAACTGATTCTAAACAAGATTATTGGTAAAAGCTACGCGAATGTCAAGCGGAAAATATCCCAGAGTAAAGACAGTAACGGCTATTATAAGTAAGTTCCACTACCTGGTTCCATGCTGGGCAGAAGACTAATAGAAAAGGATGGAAACAGTTACCACGGACCATTGAAAAAGTACAATTTTTATATATTAACACAGATCGCTTCTTAATCCCCTTACGTACAGTAACAGAGAAAAAAAAACGAAGGAAGCAGTTAGTTCAAGTCTCAACTAGCCAATCACTAGCAGATATCGATTAGTCTCACTAGTTCCATGTAGAGTGCATCATGCACGCTAAGAAACCAAGATGTAAAAACAGAAGTAACAAAAAGTTGTTAATTCTTCAGTCACGAACATTAGGAAAACCTTGTCCTTAAAACTACCTAGTTTTTGAGGTTAATTCATTGTTAATGATGCGGTACATAAAGCGCAATAAACAACTAACCATGAGCTCCATATGCACCCAAAGTAACAGCCAGTGCTCCAGATAAACCAGCAAGTCGAACTATGAGCATATTAGGTTCAAAAATTCCTGAAGATAGAGGAGATTCTGTAACAACAGGTGCAAATTTGTTCTCTTTAGGCGCAATTGCGTTTATTACGTAACTTGTCACTCCAGCGAGATAATCCATGGGAAACAAATAATGTACCTATAAATCTATGTGATACACTTTTTAGATTTTACACTAATATTTATCATAAACATATTATAATCTCCAATAGAAAAGAGTCATTTCATCAGCAACAAAACTATAAATCGCATTAAAAACAGTTCAAATAATGACAAGAAATCAGTTAATAAATTACACGAAAAAAAGACGTTCGTTCTAAAAACATGCTACGTTCAAACGGTTAAACTGTAACTTCCTGAAAACTGTAACTTCCTGAAAAAAAAAACCTGATTAAAATCAACAATAATGAAAAAAAAAAAAAGAAGGAAAAAAAAGCTGACGATTTTCTATGAAACAGGCTTCATGTAGATTCACAGAACGACAGCTTCCAATAATATAACGGTTTACAGCCTGAATTTCCTTTTTTTGTTTCCTTTCCTCACTGCATCGTTCCATAGTTACTTTGAACGACGTATAGCAATTACAGTACTGGCGAAATTCCAGCATAATAAAGATTTTTACTCTCTGAACTGCAATTCTATCAAAAAAAAAGAAGCATATGACCACGCAAAAAAAAAAAAAAGAAAAAATTTCCTATAAGTTCTCTATTCTTTACATGTTTAGTAAGCCGTTGGTGTTTGGTCTACAGTGTGATACCACAGCACCGTATTGGTGTTATCCAGAATACGTGTTGAAGCTTTTAATGCAAAGAATTTCTACGGATATTATTGGCATATAGATAACTGCTGCTAGCGCACTGTAACGAAACAACTTTGCTTTATCCTTTATAAATCAGGAGAAGTCCTTTCTGTATCAACCACTTCCAGAACTCTACCTCTTGGAACTTAGAATATGCATTACCAAAAAAGAAGACAACATTTCTTCCTAATCAATACACATCAGGCTTTAAAGGGATCTTAATATCATCTTCATTACTTTACTGTGGGTTGACGCTTGTTTAACAAATGTATTAGAATCCTGCGCCAACTTTACTGTGCAGAATTTAGTTGCTGTGAAAAGCGTTTGATATCTTCTCTGTTCTTGACTACATTTAAGTAATCCACTGCAACTGCACTGAAAAAAACACTTACAAATGACGGATGATGGCAATTTATTTCTTGAAAGTGGTTATTAAGATATTAGAAATCAGGTTAAATGGACATTAGATTAGACTACTCTTTACCGTTAACGCTTAATTACTGAGAAATACTAATTCCAATTAACATGATCATTTATGATTAGTTCTAGCTTCGTTAACGGTCTTAATTTCTATTGGCTAATTCATTCTCAACCTATCCATTTAATCCTCTTAGATTACTACAATTGGGGAAATATATTAACGTTCGTCACAATGTCATAAAACATACTTGCTCAAAAATTAAGCATTTTACCCATTAGCTTCCTAATCACTTTCTTAAATTTTCTTCATTTTTACTTGACTGTACACCTCTGAAAGTATTACAATGGTAGTATTAAAAATCTCTTATCAGTCTTCCAAAGTTGTTGGGTATTCGCCAGTAATTAAATGGATCCAACAAACAAAAACCTGTAATGTAGCAACTAATGGGCTGTTTAAGTAGTTCCAATTACTGAATAACTCAGTTTTACATACCGTCAGTGACACCTTTTATGTCTTAAGTATAAATCGATCCACTCTGGAATTAATCTTATCTAACAAGTTCCTTCATTTCACCCTTTTATACAAATCAAAATAATTCATAGAAAGGGGTTATCAAATCAGGTTAGATTGGTTACTTGAGTTAATGTAGAAAAATTCTGTAACTGATGAAAATAAAAAATTAGATGCCCAATCACGCGAACTCATTCAGCTGTCTGATAATTAATTGAAACACATTTTAATGTTTCACTTTTGTCAAACCTGATAGCTGTTTTTCAAAATGATATGTAGTGATCTCGTGTGTCGAAATCTCATTTGATTATTAAAAGCTAAAATTAGTTATAAAAATCCTTTAATGATATTTACGGATGAAAAAGACTGGCTCTTGGTTATACAAGCAGGTCTCTTGCCTCTAAAATTTGCACCACTACAAGCAAGCAGAAGAATATTTAAAATTACCGAAGTATTCTGCAATTTACGTAACTGGTTAATATTATTCAGATAAAAAATTTTAGTGAAGGAATCAAAGTTATTAAAAGTGAAAGAAATGAATGTAAAGTAATTAGGCTCTTCCATAAACCCACGTCCTCTAAGTCTCATTTCATCCCATTCTTTCTGCTGTAATTAGCACTGCTTTTCAAGATCACAACAACAACACCAGAACCCATTTTTCTGTATTTTTTCAAAAATATTTTATTTTTTTCGATTTCGAAAAACTATTTTTTGCACGCCACGCCAATACTTCAGTAGCTGCATCAGAGACAACTTCTGAAAAATACTTCTCTACTCTAAATAAAGCAAACGTTGCAAAAAATTCCTTTCTTTTCTTATTCAAAAGATGGCTCTTCAAGCAGAAATGCAAAAATACCGTCTTTTTAGTTTATATTTTTTTTTTCTTGTGGTGCACATAAAATGGTTTCCTCAGGTGATACAATGAAGAAGACTTAAACTAAATTTCTCATTTAAGCGCTTTTTCACACTTGCAACAACTCTCAATATTTGTTTTAAAGACTTCCCGTTGAGCATTTAGGTAAAATGCAACGTTGTTAAAGCGACCACTCAGTGGTGCCTTGAACTATGACTCATTCCTAGATAAATGTTTTTTTTTAAATAGCAAAAAGTCTTTCCCGTATCTAACTCTGAACAAATACAAGTAACTGGCGTGTCAGTCTTCCAACAGTTAAATACACGTAGTGAAAAATTAAGCAGAAGTAGAACTCTGCATGAAAACCCGTAAAATAGAAAATTAACAAAATTTTAAGCAAAATCCACCAAATTAAAAACTTCTACAATATCCCAATCATGCAGCCATAACCACATAAAACTTTTAGAATAGGTAGTGGCACACTGATTATTTGCTACAAACATGGTTTCCTACTTTATCACGCAAGACTGATAGAGTGAAGTTTCAAAACAAAGTATATGATGGGCGTTCACAAACAAAAAGTGGTCCAAACTAAAACCTAACCAGTGACAGAGATGGTTAAGACCGAAATACAGCGTAGTTGGAATGTGCTTACCATAGACCATTTTTTTAAAACGGTCTATGATAGGTAGTCCAAACTGAAGCTGAGTAGTAGTCCAAACTGAAGCTGAAACTCAGAGGGACAAGAACCTTTGAGGTCTTTGTCGTAGAAATTCATTCAGGTGTCGGTTTGTATCAAAGAGTGAATCCATTCATCTAATCAAGTGGTTCAACATTATTTTTCCTCAAACCATTACTTTCTTTGGTTTCAGCGGTCGAGTTGTGACTACCTGTACAGCCTGAAATTATTTATGCTCCACTTAGACCATAACAGTGTACAACTCTTTAGATGTTTTGCCTGAGAACAAAGCAAATTTTTTTCGTGGTAGATCCTTAGCTGTTTTGAGAAACTGTTTAACCGTTTGCTAACTATTTTCATATTCACTAGACTGAGTGTATTGTTGGCTCTCATAAGGGCTGATCATGGAAAAGAAGAGGTCATCAGATGAAAACGTTTCAGTAGTTGGTTGCAACGTGTAAATAATGCAATTATTAAATCTAGAGAGAGTAGAATCTAAGAAATTATAGGCTTTCTGCAGCTAAGAATCAGAATGCCGAAACTGATAATAAGTTATCCATAACGGCTAAAATCGTACTGAAAATAACAAACAAAATACTGAAACTACTGCTGTTTAACGTCTGTTTAACATTTGATTGCATACATGCGTAAATTTTCGTATTTTCACCACTTATAACGGATCATGGTCTAGACCAACAGCCCAAAACCAAAATCTTTTGTTGCAAGAGGATGCAACTGATGTTGACAGATGACCTCGTTTCAAGGAGTAATTTTTTCTCAAAAAATATTTTTTGTGTATAAATCTCACTATTAACAATTCTGGACAACAAGAAGCCTGAATCTTATGCAGACTATGAAGTTCACTGCTACTGTTCGTGATTAACTGGTTGCAGTTACTATTGTTGATAATGAGGAGATAGACTCAGCAGACATCAGTCTTTTGCGGATGAAAAGTCTCAAAGGGCTGTTTTTCGAGTTCGTTTGGTTAGCATGAGAAATTCAGAGTTCATCCGTACTTTGCTTTGGTTATGCGTATTATTAATTTTTGCTTCTCATTCCACTTCCTACTACCGCAACTGTTTAATTCTGAAAAACTCCCTAACGAGTGCTAAGATGAAGTCTTTGCTTATGCCTTTTGAATTGCATCTCGAAAATATGAGTTGTAAAGATTAATTAAAAGTAGTTAGTTTTAGCCTTTATAAAGCTTAAACTACCAAGTTCTGATAAGGCATTTCAAATACTATGTTCTTGAAGCACTCTGTGATAGACTAATTCTTTGGTATAACTCTCAAATTGACAATGCAATTCATGGTATGTAGAATAACGGATGGTTTTTTACCACTTGGATTGGCTAAATATGAAACACTTGGCTAAGAAAAGTGAAGTGCCACATAAGTATAAGTCTTTTGAAAAGAGTTTGTGTATCTATTCAGCGTAAGCAAAATTCCAATTTTAAAAACTTGTACTGATTGGTAAAGTTGATTATATTATAAATACAGGGCTGAGAAAAGCACTTTACAAGTCATTTGAAATGTTTAAGTTTTAAAGTGAGCGGTCCTTACATGAGTTGTTCTAATGACTCCTCGTGATACCCATAGATTTACTTAATCCAGTTCTTCTTCTTTAAAGCTCACTATTTTCGTCATCCAACAGCATCGTCCGCCTTCGAAGCACATCCCGGTAGAACTATTTATACGGCACTTTGAATAGAAAGCTGCAGATTGTGGACCTCTCGTAGAAAAATGAAACTTTTAAGCGAAGTTTTAGAGGACAGCTCGCTCAAGTGTAAAAACGTCTAACTTCCTGTTTTTCATCAAGACAAATCGTCCAAAATAACCATAGTCGTTCTGACAAAGATCTCGTGATAAACCTCTGCGATTCCTACTTCAACCAGGCTACGCGAGCTTCCATTCAGTAATGAAAATCAGAAAGACATCAGTCCAACCGCATGACAGTAACACATCTC